ATTAAATGTGTGTATAAGACATGAGTTCTTATAGTGTATGACTGGTGGGGTCATGTGTTAGGCGATGGCTGGGAAATAGAGGTTTTATGTGAGTTAGAACATGTCTATTTCCTAGGAGGAGTCTAGGAAAAAGGTTTTATGCGTGTTAGAACTTGTCTTTCCAGGGACTCTGGCAGGAAATACCCATGGTGGTTGGGTTTTTTCGGATGACCTAGTGATTGGTCATGGATGTGATGATATTCCAGGTGAGGGGATGTCATGAGGACCACGAGAAGTGATTCTAGTCGACAAGTACTTATGAGGCACGTTACAGAAGGTGCACCAGGGAACAAGTGAGGTTTTCTAGGTATACTTGAGGGGACAGGTGAGGTTCTCTCCAGGGAACAAGTGAGGTTTCATGCATATATCTCGAGGGGACAGGTGAGGTTCTCTCTAGGGGACAAGTGAGATCTCCTGCATGCCGATAGCTTGACGGATTCTGTGTCCCGAGAGTGAGAGGGCATGGAGCATACCGATAGCCTGATGGACGGCGGTTCTGAAGGTGGGAGGGGTATGTTATACACCGTGATCTCCAGGGTGACGACCCTGGGAGTGTTAGGGGTGTATATGTATGTGGGTATGAGCATAGCGTCTGTGATGTGATTATGAGWATGAGACTGGATGAGCTTCRGRGATCGGRAAGRATCTCARGTGGTGCTGGCCGGGTAGGKTCAGGAGTGTTGATGTGATTRGTRTMTAGTCTAGGGATTTTACTTGCGTTTGGGAACCTCGGTTCAGATGACCCTGTTAACTTATGTAGCGTCTTTGTCGTGCATGTTCTTGTTTGATTGTTGCACGATCAATTGGTTCAACTACGGGTCTACGGTTGGTCGGGCATGTTCTTGTTTGATTGTTGTGCGATCAATCGGGCAGGCCTGGTCTGGACCAGAAAACGTTGCATTCTGGTGTGTTTTCGGGTAAAGCTGGTCGGGTTTCGGACGGGAGTGTTAGCCTTAGCAGGGACGGTGTTGTGT